CCTCGGCGCACCCCCACCCGCTTCCTGCCTCGGCCGCTGTGCCCCGGCCGGGCTGCTCCCTGCATCCCGTTCCTTCCTTCCTTCATTCTTTCAGGCCATTCGCATTCCTCGAGCGCCTGCGACGTGCCCTGCACAAGGCCTCTGCGACCTTCTGAGAGTGGCCTCAGGCCCTGGTCTCTCCCTCCTACGCCCCTCCCCATCTCTCCTCTGTGAAGGCCTGTTCCACTCAGAGTTTAGTATTTAATTGTTCTCTGATCTCCTGTTGGGGGGGTCAGTCGGTGGCAAGGTCAAGGGGTCTGTGTGTGACTTGAGATCAGGGGTCAGCCGACCCGAATTGGGGTTCAGCCAGTCTGTGGCAGAGTTTGAGGATAATTGTGGGTAGAAGTTGGCAGTAGTCGCTCTGTGGTCCGGCTGAAATGGGCAGGGACAGTGGGCAGTCAGAATCGGGGTAAGTAGGTCACCTTGACATCAGGATTTGCGGATTGCCTCTGACAAGCCAGACAAAGAGGGGCAGTTCTCTGTAGCCCACAGAGATCGAGTTTACAGCCTCCCCTGGCCATTCTGTGCCGCTGATACCCAAGCTGTGGAGATGCCTTTCCATCTGGGACACCCCCTGACCTCTCCTTGTGCTAGGTGCTGCAGGCAGAAGTCCGCATTGGCCCTGACTGCTGTTAAAGTCACTCAAAGAAGGCGCAGAAATATGTGGCTTAGAGAAAGGTACGGCGTCTGCTCAGGGACATATAGGAGATTAATGGTCAAGACAAGACTGGAGCCCAAGCCTCAGGACCTTTCAGGATGCCATCCCTACCCTGAACAGGGATTGTAATTCCCATTTTAGGGATGGGCCTCATCTACAACCCTGGGGGTGTGGGTAGGGGACTGCACAGCTCCCCACGATGAGGCTCTGGAAAGCGCTGTCTCCTCCTCCTTGCCCACCCAGCACCCTCCCTTTTACCCAAGTGAGGAGCAAATGGAAGCAGGGAGGGAGAGAAGACAGGGAACTGCTGGGGAAAGCTTAGCGGGGCTCTCACAGAAACATATGGAACTCATTACCCTAAATCAAGGTGGTCGCTGGCCAGCTGGCAGTTGGTGGGTTTGGGACTAAAAAGTGTGTGTTGTGTGGCAGTGTGGCAATGAGGGGACTCAGCTCTGCACCCTCCCCAGAATAACCCTCCTACTCAGTGGTCATGTTCTTGCTAAACTTTGTTTTGTTTCCAGGCTGTGCCATTTATGGCGCCCAAAAAGGGTCTCAGGACATGCTAGGGTACTGAGCCTCTGTAAGGTATTCAGGAAAGGGATGAGGACGTGGGATGGTCAGGAGAGATACATACATTCTCCTTAACCTGTCCTCTTTCTCCCACATCGGGGGATCAGAGACCGGTGGGTCTTACAGTCTGTGCAGATGTGTGAAGGGCTGAGCTATGGTTTATGATCTAGGGTTCATCCAGGTAAGCCCCAACGGGCCTTTGTGTTGGTCCACACCCTGAGAATCACATTGTCCAGTGCAGATTCAACTTCTATACAAGACAGGCATTTTTGGAGGCCCTTTGCTAGTATGCAGCTGTCTATACAGTAACAGCTGATTTCACCCCTGCGAGATTCACAGATAGTAGATGACCTAATGGGTCACCTTGGAGTAAGTGTCACAACACGAGGAGACATCTACATCCAGTGCCCTTACTGTACAGACAGGGGGTGAAGCTTAGTGATAGCGTTTGTCTAACTTGTGCAAGGCCGGGAGTTTGATTCCCCAGTACCATCAAGGAAAAAGAAAAAAAAATCTACTGAAGACTTCGTACAAACTTACACGTCCTACAGAACTACAGAACAGGCCTCTCCCAGCCGCAGCAAGTTCCCTGGTGCTTTCTCCGTGGGAGTCTGGGAATCACTCTGGTTGGGATCCCAGCTTTGTCATTTATCAGCTGTACCATCACAGGTGAGTTATTTATCCTCTCTGAGCCGCTTGTGACTGATATGTTGATCAGACTAGAAGACATTTGCAAAGAGGCTGGCACTTGGGTGGCACTTGGGCGACTCCCACCTGGGAGTTTGCTGGGCTTGGTGTCAGATTCCTAGCATAATTCCCTCCTGTCTTTCCAGGATGGCAGTGCTGTGGGCAGACTGCAATCATGGCATTTCAGGACTGCCAGCCCGTGAGTGTCCTGCCTTAAGGAAGAACGGTTCAGAGAGGAAATGCAGGCCTCTGACCCAGCACCTCCACTCCTAGGCTCTGCCACTTTGGACAAGCTCCTTTACCTCTCAGAGCCTCAAGCTCCTCCCTGTGACTCTGTGGGAGCCCCAAAACCTGTCCTCAGAAACTCGGTGAGGATTCAGGAAGGAACTGAATGTAAAGCACTCACAGGCTTGCCAGGGCACAGCCTGTACTCAAGAAATGATAGCTTGCGTTACTGTCCCCATTTCACAGATGGAGAAACCAATGCAGGCAGCAGAGAACTGACTTGAACAAGGGCAAGTGGAAAGAATCCTTCATATACCTGGAGATAAAAAGTCATATTTTGGGGCTCAGGGTGTGCACAAGAACCTGGATTCAATCCCCAGCACCAAAAACAAATAAGGGAAAACCCCCGATCTTCATACTGCCCATCAGTGCCTAGCTATTATTTTTTCATTATTGGGATCTGAAAGGATTTTCATGAAAAGTGTGATCTCAGCTGGCGGAGAGACAGCGCATCAGGCCCTGTGAGTCTGTCCAGGCCCAGCTTGACCAGAGCCTGCCCTCTGTGGAAGACAGCAGGAGTTGGGGGGAATGGAAATACAACCTAGTGAGCAAAAAAGGCCCAGAAGCTGGAGGTGACAGGGTCCTGGGTGAGAGCAGCAGCTCTGTGGTCAGACAGATCCTGTCTGTGCCATTGCTTAGCTGTGTGGAAAGCTACACACCACCACTGGGTGTGCGCGCCGTCTCTCTCACACACCCTGGGTGTAAGTTATACAACCCAGCAGAGCCAGACTTCCTGGCATGGGTGAGCTGCCCCTGCTCACAGCTGGTAGCCTTTGTCATTTCGTCAGGAGGCAGTCACCTGCCTCTTTACCGTCACCTTTGTGTGTAAAACGTGTACACCTTTGACTGAACAAGCAGTGGACCATACAGGTAGTGAAATACCCACGTGTTCCCAAACTCTTCCACTTAACCACCAGTGTGAACTTGGACACAAGGCTTAATTTCTTTTGTCTTTGGTCTCTACATTGTAAAATGGGGGCAATAGTAATCTGTCCCACAGACAGTGGTGGTGAGGATTAGTTACCATATGGAACTCTTAGATTAGTGCTTGGCACTGTACACCCCCTTGCACCCATGCAAAAGCTAGTTTATTCATTTTCTCAGCCTGCCAAGAAACATCTGTTCTCATGCATTCCATAGCCATCTGTATCTTCATATAAAATCACGATGGCTTTTTATTTTATTTTATTTTTAGTAAAATTGCCATATCAGGAAAAGGTACCAGATTTTTATCACATGGCTTTTTGAGACCTGGCATGGATCCAGCTTCACACACAGTCACACATGAGCCTGCGTGAACACACATGCCCTTGGACACAACACACTCTGAGAGGCCATGCCACGCTGGGCTGCTTCCCAAATGGGCTGAAACAAGTCCTCTTACGTGAAGCACTGCTTGCCAGTCTCTGACCCTTGGCCTGCTCCCTGGAGGGAGGCAGGAAGGGGGAAGCCTCCCCGCCTCCCATGATAGCAGTAGCCCTGTATTCATGGCAGAACAGCCCCAGGAGGAAGTCCTGGCCCCAGCTGCAAGCCTGAGAGGCTCAGCCTTGGTTGTGTCCCATCCTTGCTGTGCAACCCCAGACACACAGCTTCACCTCTCTGAGACTCGGCTTCCTCATTTCTCAGAGGGTCTCCCGACTTGTACCTTTCGGGGTTCTGAGGATTAGAGGGGTGTAGAAAGTGCCTGGTCCCATAAATAGAAGCTCTTAGAATCCTGGCTCATTTTGCAATTCAGTAAAAAATAATCATCTTTTATGTATTATTGAATAAATTGGGTCTATGATCTATGTACCTTACATAATTAATATACTTTATTGGTTTTTAACATCTCTATTGAGCTATTAAAAGGTGGTTTTTTATCCCCTAAACTTATTTTTTTCACATTTTACAATGTTTGGGCAAGTCACTGAAGCCCAGTGAGCCTTATTTTTTCCTTTTCTCTAACTAGGGAAGGGAAAAAAAAAACCTTCCTTCCAAGGTTATTTTGAGAATTCAATAAGATGTTGTACGTAGAAGTGTTAAGCAGGTGAGAGATCATTTTTTCCCCCTACCTCCTTTCCTCTCACTAGGTAAAACTTTTTTTTTTTTTTTTTAGTTTTTTGAGACAGGGTCTCACTATAGTTGAGACTGACCTGGAGCTCAGGCTGGTCTCGAACTCATAGCAATCCTCCTACCTCAGCCTCCCGAGTGCTGGGATTACAGGCGTGCGCCATGGCACCCGGCTTAGGTCAAACTTCTTAAGATATGAGGAAGGCCAGGCATGGTGGCACATGCCTGTAATCCCAGCACACAGGAGGCTGAGGCAAGAAGCTCATAGCAACTTTGAGGCCAACCTGGACCAGCCTGGACATACCAAGACCCTGTCTCAAAAAGAAAAAAAAAAAAAAAAGGAAAGAGTTTTATTTACCTCTATATCAAAAAGGAAAGAGTTTTATTTACCTCTATATCATCAGCATTGAATGCATAGTAATAAATCTAAGAATAGTGGTCATAGCCAGTCTCAGTGACACACATCTATAATCTCAGCTATTTGGAAGGTTGAGGCAGGAAGACCACAAGTGTGAAACACGTTGGGTAAACTAACAAGACCTTGTCTCAAAAGTCAAAATAAGGGGCTGGGGATTTGGCTCAGTAGTTCCACCGCCTGCCTCCCAAGCACAGGGGCCCAAGTTTGATCCCCGGTATCGAAAAATAAAAATAGGGGCCAGGGATTTAGCTCAGTGGTACTGCCACCTGCCTCACAAGTGGAAGGTCCCGAGTTCGATTCCCGGTACCAAAAACAAAAGCCAAAATGAAAATCAAAATAAAAAGGGGTGGGAGGGTATGGACTGGTGGTAAAGCACCCTGATTCCATCCTTAGCACCACAAACATAAGAACTTAATAACGGGGATGGTAATAAGAACTCCCTTTGCTGAACATTTACCCTGTGCCAAGCTCTGTGCTGAGTGCCTCGTAATGGAGCAATGAGTAATAAACATTTGAGAGATTTTTGGTCCTCTCTGCTGCTGATGTAAGCATGAAGAAATTGTTTTACTTTTCCCTTAGGCAAATTCTCTATTCCATACTCCAGACAAAATTATTTTGTTCTTGGGCCTTAGGCATTTTCCTGCCAAATCAATTGGAAAACAACAGAAATCTTTAGTTTCCCCGCCTATAAAATGGGGCTAAGGATCAGTTTGTCTCTGGGAAAGGTGTCCCATGAATGAGACTGAATGCAACACAAATGATAATAGCTCTCCCTACTCCTTCCTTCCTCCATACGCACCTCCCTGGAGAAGACAGCTGTGGCCAGACAAGGTGGCAGAGAGCTGAGTCCTTCGCTCCTCTGGAATTGTTTTTCCTTGGCATAGTACAACAGACTCTCCTGGATAATTCACTGATTCAGGGGCCCTCCCAGGCCCACTCACATCTTACCTCCTTTGGAAAAACCTCACTTAACTGCCATAACCCCAACGATTCCACCTCCACAAATACCACAGGCCCCTGAGGTCATGCGTTGCCTTTTGAAGCTCCATATAAGTCCCAGAAGGCAGGGCTGTGTGTTAGTGGTTTGATTTCTGCTTTTCCAAGCACGTTCTTATCATCATCTCATTTCATCTCTTACAAACCTAAGTTCCCCAGGTCACAGATGGGGGAGCTGAGGCCGCAGAGTGACAGAGCGAGCCAGCCCTGTGTCCCAAGACATTCCGTGAATCTCTCTGGACTCAGGTACTCTCTGAGCACCATCTTGGCCCCAGACTTTGTGCCTGGTTCCTCTCCATAGCCATTTTATAAAACCCGTGTTGTCCCCGCTTTTCCAGATGAGGAAGCTGAGACTCAAGTAGGTAAATTAACTTGCCCAAATCACACAACCTGTAAAGGACAGTCATGATTTGATCTAGGCCATCTTGCTCCAAAAAGTGTGCATTTTATTTAGTGTCTGGAGGCTACTGTAGCTTTGCTGTTGGGAGACTCAGATTTGCTTATGTCGCCCCACGATGGCTTCTCTGGGTCCCTGTACCCCAAAGCAAGGAGTGATTGCCAAGGCTGACTCCTGTACCCAACTCTTTAGGCCCCAGCAGCTGGGGTCAAGGGGTTCACAGTGCAGGTCACACAAGGCCTCCGCTGAGGCAGTGATCTACATAGAGTGCCCCTATTCCCAAAGCCCATTGTCTCCCCAGAAAACAATGCAGATAAAGGACCCAGTCTAGTGGGCTGCCTGCATCAATCTGTAACCATGGAAACCCCCAGGGAGACAATTCCAAAGCCTTCCCTGCTACCCACCAGCCTGCAGCTGTGACTCCAGGAACCCAGCCTCCAGCAGGAGGGAACTGCTGATAATTGCCACCCTCCACGACTACCACCATCAAATGGGACACAGCTGGGCCCCCTCGGCATAACAGCCCCCACCCTCCCGCCCCAGCACTGGTGTTGGTAAAGGGGTCTTGGACAAGCTTAAGGGACAACCCTATGGGTCAGTTCTTTAAGGTTCCACTCTGGTGAGAAATGTCCTCGATCCCAGGGCTGGACACAAGGGAAAAAGAGGTGCAACAGAATTCTTAACATCGAAGCAGTAACCAGGCCTCGGGGAAGGTTTAGGTTTTTGGCACATGACTTCCCTCTGGTGGCCATTTGCTGAAATTGTCCCGCTGAAGCCCATGTTTGCAGAAGCAGAGCAGGGTGAGTGAGCACCTGACCTCCCTGGCTCCAAAAACTGCCCTGTGGCCTGGGGCAAATTTCCGAAGCTCCACCTGTAAAATGGGAGTGATGGCAATACACAACTCATAGGACGGTCATATGTGTGGCATCTTCACAGGACGACTGAGATCCTTTCAGCGGAGCTGAGGTGTGCGTGTCCTTGCTCTGCTAGCGTAGGTAGAGACCCTTATCTGAAATGCTTCAGACCAGCGGCGTTTTAGATCTCAGGTTTGACCTATGTGCATATACATAATCAAGTACAGTATCTTGGGAGTGGAACCGGAGCCTAAACCTGTAAAATGATTTACGTTTCATATCTACTTTATACACATAGCCTGGAGGTGATGGTGCACGGTATTTTGAGTGCATCTGCATTTTGATTGCAATCCATCCTATCAGGTCAGCTGTGGAATTTTCCACTTGTGGCTGTGTATCAGTGCTCAGAAAGCTCGGGGGTTTGCTGATGATGTGGCTCAGTGGCATTTGTGTAGCATCCATGAGGCCCTGAGTTTGATCCCCAACACTAACAAAAAAAAGTTTTGGGTTTTCAGTGATTCGCTTCTTTTTCTTGGTGCTGGGGATCCAACCCAGCAGGGTATTGCAGATGCTAGGCAAGTGTCCTCTTTCCTGGGCATCCTTTTTTGTTTATTTTTAATTTTTATTTTACATAGTGTCTCACTATGTAGCCCAGACTGGCCTTGAACTTGATATGTAGTACAGGCAGATCTCAAACTTGTGATCCTCTTGCCTCAGCCTCCCGAGTGCTGGGATTACAGGTGTGTGCCACCACGCCTAATTTAGCGTCACTTTTTATCCACCTGTGGGGGAGAAAAGATCAGAGGTTGGATTGGGTGGTAAATAGGAGGTGGTTTAGAAAGCATGGAGTTATGTGTCTGCCTCCACAGGCCTAGACAAGGAGGTACCTGAGAATTCGGCCCATGTGATGACCTCTGGCTTCCCAAGGCCTCTGACTCAACATTCCTCTTCACCAACGGTAATGAAGAAGACTCTGACAGTGGCTACAGGCATTTGTGGGATTGTGAGTGATCTTTCAACTATTCCAAAGCACTTTCTATGGAGATTAGTTCAATAAGCAATTCTGTGTGTCTTCTCTGTAGTGGGCACTGGACTGGATATCACAGCGTGAAGACAGAGAAAAAGGAGGAAAGTTCAGGCTGTTGGGAGCACAGAACATAAAAAACAACTGTAACTGTGATGTGAGTCGATGATAGATTGGTATTGCTAACAGGAGGTGGGGCGCAGGGGTCAGGGCCAGCTTCTGAAAGATGGATGCTATAGCTAGCACCACCCATCCTGTGGCCACCACCACCTGGATTCCAAAGACTGGGTGTCCTGTTTATTTCCAAAGAGTTCTGAGCCTCATTTTGCAATTTAGCTATTGGTTCAGATTGTTTGGGGCCTGTACTGGGGATCCAACCCACAGGGGAAGAGTGGGGGGAACAAATGCTATAAAGTGCAGGTCTGTTTTGACCTTGTCTCTTGATTTTGCCATCCTATGTTTCAGTTATGTCGGTCTAAAGAATTAAAATACACCCGTTTTGGGCTGGGGATGTAGCTCAGTGGTACAGCACTTTTGTAGCATGCACAAGGCCCTGCGTTCAATCTCCAGCACTACAAAAAACAAACAAAAAGACCACAGGGCTGGGGATTTAGCTCAGTGGTTCCACTGCCTGCCTTGCAAGCACAGGACCTGAGTTCGATCCGATCCCCAGTACCAAAAAAAAAAAACAAACAAAAAACAAAAAACTCCAAAAGACCAACCTACTCACTTCTGTTGAGGATTCTGTGAGATATTGTGTGGATGTGGGCCACGTTACATTCTCAATGTTTTGTTGTTGTTTTTGTTTTAATCTGGTATAAAGAAAGGAAGGCATTTGTCTGAGAACAGGGCAGTTATTTCCTGGTGGTAGAGGTAGAGAAAGACGTCTCAAGCTGCGAACATCACTGGCAAATGGGTTGCAGAGAGGTCAGAGGGGGAGCTGGGAGGA